AGGGTATATCAAAGATGTGTCTAACCCTTATAACTTGTTATTAGTATGTTTATTAATTTATATACTGAATTTATTAATTGAATGTACAAACTATAATTTTAAAATTATATTACATATAAAATATTGATATGTCTTAATTTATATAAAAATCACAAAATAGGCAGATCCTGGCAAGCAGCAGTGTGGGCCAGAGCCACATGGCTGCAGGCAGATCCTAGCCAGGGCCCCACCCAGACACCAGTGGCTTGGGCATACAAGCCCAAGCCAAAAGGCTGCCCAGAAAAGAGCTGCACAGGCCCACAAGCATCAGCCAGAGACCTGACTCATACCATCAGTAAGTGTGTGGTAACCCTAGCCAGAAGCCTGCTCAGATACCAGGGTCTGGGGTGCACAGCTCCCAGCCAAAGACCTTCCCAGACAACAGCTACATAGGGGGGCAGGCCCTAGCCAAAGGCACATCTAGATATCATCCCATCTGTGCCCAGGCCCCAGCTAGAAGCCCGCCCAGACAACAGGTCAGCTCAGATACCCAGAAGTCAACCATTCTGAACCCAGTAATTGGTACACTGGTGAGCAGCAGAGAAAAGGTTGCTCAGTGGCTTGCTGAGAATTGAAGACCACTGGGCAAGCAAAAAGTTGCCTCAACAAAGGCACAGCAGGCTGCATCTGTTGAAATGAGAAGACATGTAAATAAGTCTCAAAACCAGACTTCCAGATCACCTAAGGAAACCCCAAAGGGAAATGAGATGGAACCTTCTGATACTCAACCACCAGGACTCCCTGAACTGACAAAGAAAGAGGATCTCAAAAAATGAATTTAGAAATAATTTCTAAGATAACAACAGAGATTGTGCCCATAGTGCAAGACATGATTAATAAATCTAGAGCAGACACAAAAAAAATAGAGGAGCTGAGGAACATGATAGAATCCCAAAATAGGAAACAAATGGAATCTGTAAAAGAGATGCAAACAGATTTCCAGGAGATTTAAAACTCCATTGAAAGTTTATGCAGCAGAATGAGCAAGTGTGAGGATAGAATTTCAGATATAGAAAATAGGATTGCAATTAATGACCAGGAAAAGAAAAATTTCTCAAAAATAATAAGGGACCATGTGAAATCAATCCAGCAGCTGCTAGATGATACAAAGAAGAATAACGTAAGACTGATCAGAGTCAATGAAGAAACAGAAGAGAGTGCAGATGACATTAAAAAAAAACCTGTTCAAAGAACTAATGGCAGAAAACTTCCCAAGTAGGGAAGAAGAGCTTCACATACAGATAAATGAGGCATACAGGACTCCAACTAGCCATGATCAAAAAATATCTACACATGGGCATGTAATAGTTAAAATTCCAGAAACCCAACAGAAAAACAAAATTCTACTAGCAGTTAAAGAAACAAATCACATATACAAAGCAAAGCCCATCAGAATCACAGCAGACTTCTCAACACAAAACTTCAAGTCAAGAAGAGCTTGAAGTGATATATTTAAAGCCCTAAGAGAAAACAACCTCCAACTCAGATTATTGTACCCTCCAAAACTATCTTTCAAAATTGATGGAGAAATAAGATACTTTCATGGCAATGAGCGCCTGAGGAAGGAACTTCATGAATAGCAAAATAGCACTCCAAAGAATTTTAAACAATATCCTTGGAAAAGAAAATGAGAATCACAACCTCAGGAAGCCCAGCAAAATGAATCCATCAAGCATGACAAGAAACTAAACACAAAGGGGGAGAATCCAACAAAAAGAAAAAGGAATGAAAATGATAAGTCAATATGTATCAGTTATAACCATCAATGTTAATAGTCTCAGTTCACCAATCAAAAGAAATAGACTGGCAGAATGGGTCAAGAAGATCCAACAATATGCTACATGCAAGGAACACATAATTCAAAAAGAAACACATAGACTGAAAGTTAAAGGGTGGAAAACAATATTCCATGTGACAGGGACCCAAAAAAAAACAGGAGTAGCTATCCTCTTTGCAGATCAAGTGAATTTCAAATCAACACTGATTAAGAGAGACAAAGAAGCACACTATATCCTTGTAATGGGAATAATCCAAGAGGAAGAGATAACAATCATAAATATATATCCACCAAACACTAGTGGGCCCAGCTATATAAAACAAGTACTAACAGACATGAAAAATGAAATAAGCACTAATACAATAGTAGTGGGGGACCTCAACACCCCACTGTCACAAATTGATAGATCAACAAGACAAAAAATAAACAATGAAATACAACTCAATTAAACTATTGAACAAATGAACTTAACAGATGTTTACAGAAAATCAGAATACACATTCTTTTCAACTGCACACAGGTCATTCTCCAAAATAGACCACATACTCACTCATAAAACATATTTAAATAAGTGCAAAGGAATTGAAGTTATTCCCTGTATATTGTCAGACCATAGTGTGATGAAATTGGAGATTAACAGCAAAAGAAACCACAAGAATTTCATAAACACATGGAAATTGAACACACTTCTGAACAACCAATGGGTCACAGAGGAAATTAAAGAAGAAATCAGACAGTTCCTTCAATTAAATGACAATGACAATACAACATATCA